GTGTGTGTGTGTGTGTGTGTGTGTGTGTGTGTGTGTGTGTGTGTGTGGTGTTTTTTTTTTAGGATGGTCACACCTCGGTGCTGATGGCTCGGGTGTTGGTGTAGAAATCGGAAGGCCGGCCTCGCTGGGTCTCCCTCAGCAGGGAGCCTCGGACGATGGGCAGCGGCATCGCCAGCGCCTGGTTCTCATAGTGTGTGGGCATGTAGGTGATGCGCTCACCACCGTTGCGCATTTCATCAGTGGTACGAATGTAGAAGGGCGAGTCATAGGGTGAGCAGGTGGGGCAGTAACTGCGTTGCCCCCCTGTGGGTTTGGTGGAGTCGGAGGATCCGGGCGGCTCTGGTGGTGACATGGAAAGCGGGGTGACGATCGACCCGTCCAGGCCAGAGACACTGCAGGCGTTGCACGCAAAGTGTTGCTGTGAGACGGAACCGCTGTCAGACCCATTCTTCTTACAGCAGTAGTACTGCAGACAGAGTGAAGGGCAGTACATTTTCAAGACAGATTTGTAACATAAACTGGCTCTCAAAACGAGTTCAGAAATGCAAATGGAATGAGACGCAATGCACTTTATCCATAATAATCAACACGCTCCAAGAATGTTTCTTGGTACAAAATTGGTGTCTTGTTTTTTTAAAGATAGTGGAGCCCAATTCTACACTATTCCTAGAAATAGACAAGCTGCACCGAGAACTGAGAAAGGCAAAAGTTGTTGTTAAAGAAAGGACGCTTTCAAGGCTTATTAAGGTAGAGGTTGTTAGTTTAATAAGCCAAAGCCAATATAAAATGATCTAAACTGTCAAAAGTACTGTGAACTATACTTTCTTACCGAATATTCAAAATACAATTTACGAAAATATGGAATAAGTAACATTTCTTGCTGCAAGTATTACACGATTATTTTCATATATTTGATGACGATTTGAAATTTTCCCACAGTCTCCTGTAAGGTGATGTGATAATACAATGTGGCATAAGATTTAACATTGACGTGGGATTTAAATATGTTTAAAACATACCTGGAGTCTACAGTAACAGAGCACAGCTATGATACACAGAAGTATCACTGTGGCCAGTATTCCCCCGGTTATGACAACAGTTCCAGCTGTCATCCGACCAGCTCTCCATCAAACTCTGACACAGGAAGTGACATTATTAACAAGAGCCCCCCACTGCACAGCAAATGTGAAGTTTAATCAAATCAGGCACAGGTCACCATCACAGTAAACACAGATGGAATATATTTTCTATGTACGTTACTAGAGCAAACTCAAAATGTCATTCTGTAATTAAGCAGGGATAATTAAGTAGAAAACATGCAAAGTGTAAATGACTTAAATACAAGCATGCACTATGATAGATATGGACTGCCATCATAAAGAGACCTAAATGTATATTTTTTACTAAACTTAATTTACTGTTTATTTACATCCTTTAATACCTTGATAACCAAACTGCAACTGGTTTCTTTTGCAGTGGAAATGACCACATTATGTTAATCTTAATTTGTCTAAATATACACATATAGGGAACTTTATAGCTATTTATTTTTAAAATCAGTATTTAACTTAATGTAACTAAAAACCAGTCAAATAATATTCTAAATTCATATATAAAGCATATTCTGTATGCAAATTTAGATTAACAGAACAAAATGTAAATGAAATTGCCCCGTGGCATAAGTCTTATAGAGTAAACCTGGTTGTGTTTATTGTTGTTGTACTCACGTTCAGCAAAGTTGCTTAACACCTGAAAGCAGAGAAATACAGTAACAGTGGTGGTTAGATTAAACGTCATAGATCGGACGGACAGACAGACAGACAGACTGACGGACTGACTTACATCAGAAGAGTGTTTGTAAGGTTGTAAGGGTGTAGAGAGGACAAATCAGAGGTCACTGGTGAGAGGTCACACCGCTGGATAGCCACACTGTATGAACATCTGAGCAATAGGAAGAAATGGAAAACAGTTCAATTCAAGAAGCGTTACACCTTTTTTCTCCACAAGGTGGCACAGAGAGAACAGTAAAATGTTTCTCACAGACACACAACCATACAGTACGCCTTCTGGCACTAGATAATGTCTTGGGATGACTAGGAATAAAGAAGAAGGAAGAAAGGAAGTAAGGACACTAGCAAAGAAGTAAATGAGGAGTCATAAAGGGAGGAAAGAAGGAAAAGGGTAAGAAAGTCATGATTATAATACATAAATGTACACCGGGCATAAACATGCACCATTGCACCCAAACACAAACTAATTTTACATTACATACATACAGATTTTGGACAAAATAATAGCAACACCTGTTGTGATGCAATGCAAATATGTTGTCCCCCTGCAAATACCAATAACAACTCAATTTATTACCGTGCCACAGCTTCAAAAAAATATCACAGAGTTGACACAACGTTTCTCTGATACAATCACAACAAGCGACTTAAACTTGCATTCTTTCTATTAGCGAGCAGGGGACGCCTCTTCTGGTCGCAAAAATAAGTCATATTGTATAGAAGTCTATGATAAAATGACCCTACTTCTCAGTAAACATGAGTTTATGGTCTCAATCGCTAGCGTCAATTAAGTCTTCTCCAATACAGCATGATGTTCATTTTGTGAATAATGGTCTCTTTTTGAGTAAAATTGACAAAAACAATGCGTGTGCCTGTGCGTGTGTGTGTGTGCGTGTGTGCGTGAATCAGTGAATGTGTGCATGTAGTGTAAAGTCCTTTAAGTGCTCAGAAGACTAGAAAAGTGCTACATCAATGCAATTCCAAGTCCATTTACCATAAATGTGTCCACCTGCTGTAATCATTATATTAATATCCGGTTTCTGTAGGTTTTACTCGTTCCAGCTCTTCTCAATTTGTTTTTTTCCAGTTTTGCGCCAAATAATCAGTGAAACAAAACTCAAAGGTCACATCACTGCTGTCAGACAAAGAGGAAAGAAACTGAGAATCATAAATGAAAAGATCACAGTCCCCCAATCCTCAGATGTGCATATTCCTGAGCAATATCACTCTCTCCACAATCAAATCCACACAAATAGATGCATGCATCATTACAGTATAGCAGCATTACAGTATAGCAGAGCAGTAAACGTGAGTTAGAGGTGAGGGGCTCTGTTGTTGAGGGGTTTTAATCTGCACGCTGAGGCTTGTCTAGGTGAAGTGAAATGTATTACTGCTGATAAAGACATTTTAATGAAAGGAAAGGAAGAATGACAAATGAGGGGAAAAAGGATAGAGAAAAATAAGACTGTATGCATGTAAAGAAGGAGGAAATTAGGAAAGGAAGGAATTAAGTAAGTAGCACTACGGGTACGGATGTGTATGGATGTTGACACATGCATTAACTTTTTTCCACACAGAGCTAATTTCTCAGCCTGTCACATATGATTCCTGCTGTTTGATGTCTGGATTGACTAAAGTGTGTTTGTGTTTGTGTGTGCTATGGTTTCATGTGAGCAGTTGGTCCTTTTTTTCGTGACAGATGAAATATGTCAGTCCATCATTGTGCAAAATGTCAATGAAGTCCATATTTAATTTTAGTTGAGTTTAGTGAGATCCAGCCACCTTACTATTGAGATGGTTGCATCTACTGGTCTTCTCACCAGATCACCACAGTAAGAAGCTCAGAGAAGAGCAAAGCAACTAAACCTTCGCTCAGTGGTACTGACCAAGAACCGTAACTGTGATAGAAAATATTGCCGAGTCCTACTTAATGCTTAAAGATGATGGAAATAAGAGACTATAGAAATTCTATGTAAGAGACTCATTCAGAGCACTTGACTCTGCATTGGGCTGTTTTGGATTTACAGTATAAATGAGATGCCAAGTGAGAAAACCTCTTCACATCTGTGCCCTGGTGGAAATTACAAATAGAACAACTGTGACTTTTTGGCAGTCCAACAGGATTCATTGAAAGAGTACTCCACCAATTTACTATGCACTACCATTGTCAGAGTATATAAAAATCAATGCAGCAGAACCAGAGATATCCTCACCCTTTCTTCCTCCTGGTGCCACATTACCCACACTGCATATTGACCACCGACAGATCAGCTTGACACTTGTGTGTAATGCCGTTAGTGGCTAATGTAGCCACAAACCACTAGCAGATATGAGGAGCAGGCAACAACAGAGGTCCAGTGTGCTCACTTCTTTCTAAATCCTTTCGTATTGATTGTGCATTGGGAATAAAAGTCTTTTTGGGATAATAGGGGCATCACATGACCTGCAATTCCAACTTTGGCCACTACGACAAAACAGTGCAGCCGTTCCAATATGTCTGACTGACAATACGTACAGTAAGTTAGGTCGCTGAATAAAAGCTATTCATTCTCCCTGATTTTGGACAACATATTTGTATGTTGTTCCGACAACATTACCAATAATTTCAGACTTTATTCTCCGCTCAGGCAGACATTACTCCACTGTATCTTCTCATAGCATATAGTTTGCTGCTATATTACTGCTCTGAATGATATTGCTCTTAACAAAAATTATATTTAGTGTCATGTTTTGGTTTCTCAGCTGTTCGTCTTTTCCCTGTTCATTGTAATGTGGATTGATTGTGTCCATTGTCAAGACACTCCAAAATGGATCAATGTTAGTGTGCATGTTGTATTTAACAGCATTTAAGAGTGACTCCATTTCATGTTGTAGTCCAAACACAAAATGACATTGTACTCTCTCTATACACTATGGATACAGGAACTAACAGCAGCAGAAGCAGATGAGGCAGGTTGATGTCAGCAAAAAACTAAAGGACCAAACTACATCACCTCCTGAGACGTGTTGAGCATCTCAAACTGATGATATGTCCCAGTGGTATGAGATTTTGAATGGGTTTCTTCATTAAAACACACTGAGCTGGAAGTGCTGTCAGACTCTGAGGAGAAGAAAAGAAGGCGGTGCTGCTCCCAGAGGCTGCTGTCTAAACCGGGCTCATAAACCATGTTTCTGTCAGAAAGTACACTAGCCTTCAATTATTTGTGGAGACCAAACGGGATGGCAGCTGACAGACTCCTCTTAACATCGTTCATCATAACTCTCTCCAGTGCATGCAATCTAGATTCAGTACACCAAACAATTTTTCATAATTAATGCCAGAACCAAGACTTGTACTGCACGGAGGAAATGGAAACGGAGTACACCGCTGTCACCACGTCATCCTTTACTCAAACATGAAATAACAGATTTGTTTTTCTCCCTGTTTACATGTTGCTCTGCAAGCACTTTCAGACAAACTTGTTGGTGGGATTAATTTGAGTTCACTTCATCTGACAAACTACAGAGAGAAATGAGATATCTACATCAGCACACACACACACACACACACACACACACACTCACGCTAAGCACAGACAGAAAGAGAGCTGGATCAGTCACTATTGGGTCCAGATTAGAGTGGCCTTCAATCCCCAATACTGCCTGAAGAGCCCTGCATACTGATAAGACTCTCTCACACACACTGCATGCAGAATTCACTCAGGCAAACATGTGATCATGCATTACCAAATAAATCAGGACATCCTAATAAAACAGACACCAATGGGGACTTTTAGCCGTTTCATAGTGGTTTTTTGAGGTCCTGTGAAACAGACAGACAGCTGTCAAAAATACACTTAATGAGCAATAAGTCCAGATATCTATCCGTCAAATTTGCAAGCATAATAATATAAAAACTATAGGAGTGTCTCAGCTGAATTGTACTCCGTGGATGATGAAATCCTCACAGAATCCATTCGGTGTGTCACTTAGTTGTGAGTTGGAGCTGCACTGCAATCTGGTGCTCAGCACATTTCAGTTCTGGGAAAGCCGTTATTTTTCTTTAGAGCTTGAATCTGTAACATTTTAGCCTGAGGCAGAAATACATTTTTCTATCCCACCATCAATGTTCAAATTCCCACTTTGACACCTGTCAGTCATCTTGGTTGTCTTATGTGTGTCCTGCGGCTGTAGATAATGCTGGTGTCTGTTAATGGTTGTACTTTGTCTTACATCTTGTTACACTAAACTGACAGCATGTTGTGACATTTTGGTATGATCCAGTATATGAATGGGTCATTCATTATGTTTTTTATCTGTTTATTTTGCAATTAAAATATTTAAAAAAAATCATATAATAAACCAGAATTTGCAGCTTAAAATAAAATCAGTTTAACTGGCTCTTTTTGTTGGTTTGTTTTTTCCAAAACAAACCAACCAAGTTGTCTGCTTCCTAAATCATTGATCACATGTCTTATTTGTTCAGCAATTTAAGTAGGTTTACTGTTGTGCTCATTGACGACTATTTCCTCAAGTGAAGAAAAAATTTGACCAATTAGAGTTTTAATATGAATTGAAAAACTACTTCCTACCTAGCTAGCTAACTAACTACATCCTTTAAAAGTAGCAACACAATTACGGCAAGCGTGATGATGTCTTCGCAGATACACATGTTCTTGCATGTGTCCAGATAATAGATTTTCTTTTGTGATTTGATTGGTTACCAACCTCAAAATGATGACTAGGGACAAAGACTAGGACTAAGATGTGTTTTGGTTTAGTTTCTTTCTGCATCCATTTGTCAAGTTAAAGAACTAGAGCCAACACTGAGCTCGAGAGGCGTCTGTCTGCGGACGACAAGAAAGAGAAGGGGGTGTAACTTAAAGTTGCAGCTTCGGCTGGCTAGTTAGTTAGCTAGCTAGCTAATTCCACCATGCTTTCTGGTTACAGGAAATGATCTGGACGGTCACTTATCTGGCGATAGAAAAGTGATTTGCTGTGACAGAGTGCGTGGATGAAACATGAAGCTGTTAAATTCCTACTGTTCCTAGTGGCTGTCTAGTTAGCTAGTTAGCAAGCGAATTCTTCTCCTTTGAGTTTAAATGGTGGTTGGAAAACCATCTCAAAAGGTGCATTACTGCCACTACTGTACTGGAGTGTGGAGCAGTAGAT